GATGACGTAACCACGCATCCTCCTGAGGCTGTGAGAACTCCAAGAGCCCAGGCTAGAGAGATAAGAGCTCCCTGACACTTCTATTGGAGAAATGCCACAAGTCAAGGGCTGGCTCCCTACAGGGAGAGATTAGTAGCCCAAACCACTAGGTCCAGGAGGTGCAGTTGCATACAGTCTGGTTCACTTAATACCCTTGGGGACTCTAGATGGCCACATTTCCTCATATCTGATGATTATCTTAAGTTATAGATGTGAGGACATCTATACAATTCTGAGTGTTAACAGGGGGACTACATAGGCCATGGGAGTGGTGTAGTCTATGTAGAAGACACAGGCTTGTAAGACAGAGATATGGGTCCTCAGATATACCATATGGCTTACAGACTATACATCCCAGGACAATTTCAGAACCCAGGAGATAAAGGATGGGAACTGAGCATAAGGCAATGCCTCCTTGGGCATCAGTAGTTCCATGTTTCTGAGCACTGGGAACCTGGATGTAAGGGCAACTGATGAAATGTACACTCTACTAATAGAGGACAAGGACTCCTAACAGCCTCCTAAGCTCAGGGCTCACTGCTTAAAGGACTAGGCAGTTCTGGGTCTACTGAGCAAGAACTCACCTTCCTTAAGAAAACATATAGTCGGGTGTGGTGGCACACACCTTTAATCCTAGCATTTGGGAGGCAGAGGCAAGCAGATCTCTGTGAGTTCGAGGCCAGCCTGGTCTACAAAGCAAATTCCAGGACAGCCAGGGCTGTTACACAGAGAAACCCCGTCTCAAAAAAACCTTTTTAAAAAAAGAAAGAAAATAAAGCATATATATGACTTCTTTTGACAAAGTCCCTTTCTGGTGTGGGGGTGGGAGTGATTGGGCTTATTTGTGCTTAAATAAATGACTCAGAGAATGCTTTTCCCACATTAGCTGGCATCAAGTCTTGGTCCTATGCTCCAGGGTGTCAATAGCCTAAGAAAATTTGGTGACTTCCAAAGATGATGCTTGACTTGCAGTGGAATAGTGTCTGGTCCCTCAAGAGTCAAGGCCATGCCAAGCTGATGCTTGTGGCTACATCCAGCAGGTGACTAACACCAAAACCACACCCATGAATCAAATAAAATGAAACCTGAGCAGTCTTCATATTCAAGATATGGGTATAGTTTAAGGAGTTAGACAAAACAGGCAAGGGGCTAAACACATACAAGGACAATAAATAAAACAGTTAGTGGCTATCAACAGGCTAAGAACTTTGCCATCTACCAGGCTGGAATGTCCAAGGCACCTCACTAAATGTCCTATGGGGTTTTGATATATTGTTCTGTATTTTTATAACCTTAGTAAAATGCCTGAGGCTCGGTAACTGTAAAGAAAAGATATTTATCTAGCTCACAGAACTAGAATTTCAGGGGCTTGCATCTATGACGGCCTTTTTATGACCAGGGTCCTAAGTCAGTATGGAGACAATAGACAGAGACAGACAGAGTGGGGTTCTAGCCTCTCTCTTTTATTCTAATGGCACTAGTGTTCAGTCACGGGTCTGCCCTGCTGGCCTTATCTAATCCTGGTCACCTTTCCAAGTCCCCAGCCCTAAGCACCATGTTCCACCCTTTTGATACTTCACAATGACATTAAATTTAATACAAGAACTCTTGGGTTGTACACCCCATTCAAATCCAAACCACAGTGGTGGCAAAGCTGGAGTTGGTGGGAAAGCCAAGATTCAAGCAGGCATGCTGCCATCTCCTTCAGAGAGGCTGAATTGCCTCAGCCTAATGGGAGGAAGTAGTGGGCATCTCCTCTGGTTCCAGCTTCCCTCTTTCCATAGATGGTCACACCACCAAAAGCTGACTGGGATGACAGTGTTCTCACCTGTGGTGTGAAGGGACAGGAACAAACAAACCTTCCAGGTTTGTTTGCAGAGGTGAGCAGAGGCATTGCGGTGTAGGCAAACCCCAGAATCCCAAAACCTGTAGAGCAAGGCCCGAGAGTGTGGAATGGAAGAAACAGTGGCCTTCTACCCCAGAACACACCCCATCCTCCTACCTAGGGATGTGACCCATTCTAGCCACCCAGGATTTCACATGCTATTCTTACCTCCAACAGCTCCTTTATAATATGTCTAAATAACTATTCAATTCAGGTAACTCCAGTGGTTTTTTTAAAATTTATTTATTTTTTTAAAACCTTTCTTTGAGACAGTTTCTCACTATGTAGTCTAGGCTTGACTTGAGCTTGTGACACTCCCCTGCTTCAGCCTCGTGAGTGCTGTGGTGGCATGTGTACATCAGCACGCCCTGGCCCGGATTTTCTTTCAGCCTAATAAATTAGGCTCAAGGACCACAGCTCCACAGCCCCGTGGCTTTTCAAGCTCACCACTCACTATGTAGGAGAAGGAGTTGTGTGAATGGGGAAGCGCCTGAGCCTCCAGCTCAACTTCTTGGGTTTGAGTTCTGACTCTGCTACCAGGACCCTGTGTGGCCACAGATAAACTATGAGACCTCCTTCTCTGAGATCAGCTCCATTATTCTCAAAGTGCAGAACATACTCATCCTGCTAACAGGAGCAAGAGAGAAGCCGTTTGGTTTCTATGGGACAGATACTAAAGTTCCAAGTTCCTTACATAAAATGTCGGAGCATTTGCAAATAACCTGTACACATTCTCCTGCATGCCTTAAACCTCCTCTAAATGACTGGCTAATCACTGCAAATGCTACTTAAGCTTTACTACCCTGTGTTGTTTAGGGAAAGCCATGGGGGACACTGTTTATGCATGCTTGATATGGATGCAATGTTTTGACAGGAAAGGGGATAGTTTACTAAGGGGGAGACACAGAGGAGCCTGGAGGCATGATGTGCCTCCCCCATGGCCTGGCTCCAAGCTGCAGATTTTTGAAAGTATTTGCCGCCTGTCCTTGGTGTAATCTGTGGACACAACATTGGCAGATCTGGAGGAATGATTGTGCACATAGCCTGTGCAGATTAAATGCTTTTGAGCCGAATGCATAGTCACTAGTGTTTGCCATTGTCACCGCCCCCTCACATCACAGCACATCACACCTGGCCAGGTGCTATGAACCACTTGGGTAAGTAGGAAGAAGCAGCAGGCAGCTTGCAGAGCTCCGTTGTTTTTGGTGTTCATGTTGATGAAAAGAACTTTCTCCATCCACATGTGCTAATAGTGTTTACCATTTTGTTTACTATCTACTGTTGACTTACTCAGATGAAAGTAACATTCCTTTTTGTATACGTGATGCCGAGGCTTGCTGAGTGCCTACTATGTGTCTGGGCCCGCATAGCCCTACCAGGTTGCCATAACAACCAGCTGATATGCAGAAACCAGAGCTTGGAGATGACTCCCTGGCCCAAAGTCACGTAGCTCAGGAGCTGAAAAACTCAGCTTTCAGTCCATGCCTGGCTAACTCCACACTTTTGTTATTTCAGATAATCACTGAAGAATGAAGGAGAATGGTCCTAGATAAAGGCTCGATCTAGTCTGGGACATTTAGGACCTGTTGCTGTCTATTCTGTTCGTAATCCTCCCTCCCTGCTTTGCAGGCAGTCCTACTCCCTGCCCACTCAGCCTCACACTGAGCCTTTGCCCCGCTCTGCTCGGGGACTCTAGAGGCAGTCCAGGCGACGGGACTCAGTCCAGCATCAGGGCTCAGCCTTGCGGTGTGCTTGCCGGCTTAGCTCCTCCTCCCTTGAACCTCAGCCATTGCACTGAGAAGAGCAGGCTGCAGAGGAGCGCTGCCCCTTCAGCAAGGGTCCTAGGATAACAGCTGTGGAGCTCCGCCAAGCCCAGCAGAGCCCTCAAAGGGCCAAGGACAGCAACCACTACCCAGCAACCCTCGCACCTGATGATCAGGGAGTAAATGCTGCTGTAAGGCACGAGATTTGACAGCGGCTGGTACATGTTGCCACAGGAAACTCTGGCTAATGCAGACATGGTCTTAAGGGGGGGATGGACGAGGCAGCCTCTACTGTATGGACTATGCACGGGGCCACAGCCCAAGCTGAACACTTTCAGAAAACAGTAATGCATTTGGTCCTAAAGGTGAGCTGGTCCATTTTTGTACAAAATTAGTGATCGAAATATATTCTCCAAACTGAGATCAAAATAATGTTGCCATGGAGGAGTCTGGGCTGAGAGGAAGGAGATAGTGGCCATGGTATGTTGAGTTTCTCATTCCTGGTAGGTGACCGTAGCAGACGCAGAGAGTGAGCCCGGTGGAAAGCATTTCTCCTCAAGGAAGAACAGCCCATGGGCTGTGCTTTCCTATGAGTGGGAGAAACCACCTCTGCACATAGAGCTCTGTGGATTTTTTGGCTCTCGTGGTGGATAGACCCCTCTACATGACAGGTTCAATATGAAGCATCCCTCCTTTTGCAAGGAGCAAGTATAGATCCTGAATGCTAGCTGAGACCCATTCTACTGAGGGAAAGCGCCAGCAAAGGAAGCATGTGGTTTACAACCTGACAGCTAGCTGGAGGGAGAGCTCGACTCAGCTTCACAGAGGCCTCTGTGTGTACCCGGAGAGGGGGCAGCTCTTGGTGGGGCAGTATTGTGCACAAAAGTACAGTAGAGTCTTTGCTGGGTGGCAGTCATAGTGATAGTGAAGGTGACTGTACCCAGTTCCATGCCAGGCTGCCCCTGAGCTCTGGATAACCTTTCCTGTCCCTACACTCCACGCTCCCAGTGACACACGTCTCAGGCCTTTGCACAGGGCTCCTGAGGTCTCTGTGAGGCAGAGAGAGGAAGGGATGCTGGGGCCACTTCATTAGACTTCTCCTATTGGTCTCTGGCCAGCTGAGATCTAGGAAAAGGCTGCAGCCGGCTGAGGAGTTTCCATGGCAACAGCAGGCAGCACAGCTCTGGAGGCGTGGCGGGGGGGGAGGGTGGCTTGGGGAAATGGGAGAGGCCATGAAGGAGGGGGAATAGGGGTGGGAAGGGAGTTGAGAGGGGAGGAGGGGCGGGAAGAAGGAAGGGAGAGAGGAAAAGGAAACAAAAAAGAACAGAAGAGGAAAAGTCCAAGGAAGGGAGGGGGAGGAAGAGAAGGAAGTCAGGGAAGTTGAGGAATGGAAAATGAGGAGGAATAGGCATGAGGGAGACCTGAAGAGAGGTGCATGGAGAGCAAGAAGAGGAAGGAAGGATCAAGAGGAATGGTAACCCCAACTTCATGCTCCAGGAACATGGGTGCCTGTATCATCAGAGATTGGCCGACCAGCATGCTGGTGAGGAGCTAGCCACTGTGAGTGGGACAGCAGGAAGTCTGCAGATTCTACCTGCTTCTGACTCCATAGGCTGGGGCAATTTGTTTCTTGGAGTACCTGAGGACGGAATCTAGGGTCTCACATTTGCTGGGTAAGCACTCCACCACTGAGCAAGACCCACAGCCCCACAGCCCCTCCTTTAGCTCTGTATTTTGAGACTGGGTCTGACCTCACACTCACTCCACAGCTCATTCTAGCCTTGAACTTTCAGCCCTCCTGCCTCGGTCACCTAAGTAGCTGGGATTGCAGACCTGTATCATCAGATGCAGCTGGGCAAGGTGTTCTCCCCCCCCTTTCCTTCCCTCCCTTCCTCTCTTCCTCTCTCTCTCTCTCTCTCTCTCTGTCTATCTGTTTCTTCTCTCTCTCTCTCTCTCTCTCTCTCTCTCTCTCTCTCTCTCTCTCTCTCTCTCTCTCTCTCTCTGTGTGTGTGTGTGTGTGTGTGTGTGTGTGTGTGTGTGTGTGTGTGTGAAAACAGGCCAGAGGACTACTTCAGATGTCATTTATCAGGAGTTATCCAACTTGTTTTTCAAGACAAGAGTCTCTCAATGGTTTGGAACTTGCCAAATAGGCTAGGCTGACTGAGCAGTGAGCCCTAGGGATCTACTTGTCTCTGTCTCTCCAATGCTGAGATTTTAAGTGCAAACCACCACTCCAGAGGTTTTTTTTTTTATGCAGGTTCTGAGGATGAAACTAAGAACTTCATACTATAAGGCAAGCACTTTACTAATTGGCCAAGTATACTCAGGGCAATTTCTTAACCATCCAAATTTCAGTTTTCTCATCTTTAAAAAAAAAAAAAAAAAAAAAAAAAAAAACCAAAGAAACAAGCATAATAGTTGTTTCATGCAATTGTGAAACTAAACAAAATAATACAAGGCCAGGCACGGTGGCACACACCTTGAACCCCAGCTTGGGAAGATGCAAGCAGATTTCTGTGAGTTCAAAGCTAGCCTGGTCTACATGGTGAGTTCCAGGACAGCCAGAGCTATGTAAAGAGACCCTGTCTCAAACAACAACAATAACAACAACAACAAAAACCCATGGGAGAGCCTCAGGGCTGCCATATAGTAAGAATTTTATAAATAAATGTTATTTTTATGTGTTACTTAGCTACCATTGGCTCTGTCTGAGACTCCATTTCCTCATGTATAAAATGAGACAATCCCCTGCCTCAGGCAGCTTTTGAAATGCATTACTGCAAGTGCTTACTAACTGTTATCTGGTACTGTTATGTTTTTAATAACACTGCTTTATGGTGCGCCTGGTAGTTTTTCACAACACAATCCATGGTGTCACTTAACTGTGGGACAGTCGTCAGCAACGGGCATCGGAATCACTTTCCCCCTGAGCCTACATGCAATTCTAATCACAGCACCCATGACCCCATCAAATTCCAGAAACAACCCTTCCACACAGGCATCACTGCCGTTTTACAGTGGAGAAATTGCAGGCACTGAGGGGTAAGGGAATTTGCCTGCTGTTATCTGGCAGGTCTTGGAACTAGGACTTGAAGGCAGAGTGACAGCTGTAGGTGACAGGCAATTGGAAACATTACATTGGTGATTTTCACCTCAAACCAACACTTCTTCTTTTCCCTTAGATCTAAATTAAATTTATACTTTCATCGATACATGAAAACATTAGAAAGTACATCTTAATCGAATGGCATGTCCGACCCTTGGCATCTGTGCTGTGGCCAGCCCGAAGTGGAAGGAAGAAGCCATGGGCCCTTGAGGAGCTGCACCCACATGTGACAATGCCCTGGACATACATCAGCCACCTAGGCACTATGCGGGCTTCCTAGAGTAGGTGTGGAGTCTGTGTGAACACACCAGAAAAAAAAAAAATTACAGACTGAGTGAGTGACCAGTCACATCTGGATATGGAGCTAAAAACCTTACCAACAGCAGGTAGAAGCAGCTGACTTAGGTGTTTTCTCTTTTTTTGTTTTTCATGGGGAGGCAAACTGCAGATAATGCAACAACACCCCACTCATTTGTGTGTGTGTGTGTGTGTGTGTGTGTGTGTGTGTGTGTGTGTGTATGCATGTGTGCATGCGTGCGCGCACACACATGTGGCAGGGGAAATTTGAGGGAGAGTGGAAAGACAAGCACGGGAAGAGAACCAGGATGGAGAAGAGAAGTTAAGGGAAACATGAGCCACAGAAAGAAGACGCTGAAAGGCAGGATAAGAAAGATAAACAATGCCCAGGGACAAGAGAGAAAAAAATGGGAGATGCTGAGAAGGAGTGGCAGGTGGATAAACAGCCTGTGACTGAAAAGCTTCTGAGAGAGATGGGCAGGGAAGCAGAGGCACACAGAGGCAGGAAGACAGACAGCAAAGAGCGAGCAGCACGACATGGAGATGACAATACAGGCTCAGTCCCTGAAAAACCAGGACTAAAATCACCCCCATCCCCTACTCCCCTTCCACAGGCAAGGGCTGAATTCGTCTCTGCATTCTACAAAGGCTGTACTCGGCCAGCACTATTTGTCATAAAGGGGTTTTAAATCAGAGCTACACACGTTCCAGACATCTTCTCATTGGGAAAATGTAAGGAAACTTTAATTTTATATCCAGGGAATTAAAATCATCCTTTCCTAGCTTTGAAAAAAAAATGAGTGTTTACGGTGACACAAATTGCTCCTATTGACACGGGTACATTTTTACTTTGATGGGCCTGATCTTCTGTGGCCTCATTTGGGGTGGATTTACATTTGCTCAAAAGGCATTTTTTATGAACCTACTGAGTGCAGGATCTGAACTGGGCTGAGCCCAGAAGCTCTAGGTAAATAAAAAGTCTCAGTTTGCCTCCATGCTATTCAACCATACCCTGTGTTAAACTGAGTCAATACCTTTCCCCAGATACTCACATTGAAGTAGGCTTGCTGATGTTCTATAAATGTCCCCACATCAGGCTGAGAGGTAAAGTTCCCTAGTATAGATGGAGGGCTGGGACCCAGGGCAAGCCTGTCCACCTGTCCTCATTCCTTTACTCAATGTTAAGAACAGGCATGTTCTGAGGCCCTTAATAAGCTCTTGACCGCCCAGTTCTGTGGGGAGAATGCAGCTGAGGGAGATGGAGGGTGTGGAGCTAGCAGATACAATACATGCTAGTTGTTGTTGTTTGTTTGTTTGTTTGTTTGCTTGTTTCAACTTGATGAAACCTAGAGTCACCTGGGAAGAAGGAACATCAAGTGGAGAACTGCTTCCATCAGAATGACTTGTAGGCAAGTCTGTGAAACATTCTTTCAAAATTAATGATTGACGTAGGGGGGCTCAGCCTACAATGGGCAGTAGGATTTGTAAGAAAGCCACCTTTGGGCATTGGATTGTGTAAGAAAGCAAGCTGAGCAAGGCACAGAGAGCAAGCCAGTAAGTAGTGTGCCTCCACGGCCTATAGTTCCTGCCCGGCTTCCCTTCAGGATACACTGTAAGCTGTAAGATGAAATGAACTCTCTCCTTCCCAGGTTGCTTTTGGTGAGAGTGTTTATCATGGCAACAGAAAACACAAGGAGTCACAGATGGTGCCCCACCCACCCTGAAGCTCCTCTGCACCCGTGGCTTAACTCAGCTTCTGGCCCCCTACATCTTTCTGACCCAGGGTGTTCTCAAAGCAATGGAGAGTGAGTAAATGCCTGTGAGTCTCCAAAAGAGAATTCCAACAGCAAGACCAAGATAGGGACCAAGAAATAGACCAGCTTGATCACCTCTCTGGGAAGTTTCAAAGTAGTTTCTGCAATTTCTCAGAGTCCCCAGCAAGACAGAACCCTAGTTACCCCAGGCAGGGGCAACTGGCTCACCTTTCACTGCTCCCTTGGCTGTCACACCATCTCACTCCTTCTCCTTCCTCCTTGGAATCCACGAACGAATAAATCACCTAAGTCCCATTGTGCCTAATAGGCAGCCTCACATTCACTCTTCTAACTGGTGTAACTGCCCTGGACAGGAGCGTTTTCCTCCTCAGAATAAAAACTATTCATCAAGCAGTTGATCCATACCAAAGAGTGGCTTCTAGGAACATACCCATGCTGCCTATTGAGAAAGGAGGAACCTATTTTCTAGCTGCAAAGAAATTGCTAAACCAAAAATCCCACAAATAAACATAAAGTTATTACTTCAGCAAATTCTACAGAGGAAAGGTAACTGGGATTCTGTGAATATAAAATAGATTTGTTTGCCTAAGTGGGTCAGGAGTGACTTCCCCACGCAAGTGACACTTCGGCTGAGATCAGGAGTAGACTGTAACTAGAGAACATGGAAAAAAAATACTTAGAGCAACGAGAACACTCTGAATAGCGGTGGAATTGAGGCAAACCAAAGTCACGTCACACCCAGGCTAAGAGGTTGGAAGAAGTTCAATTTCAGCTCTGTCAGACTCCCATGTCCAAGCTCTTTGTGTTATATCCAACATCTGGAGTGTAGAAGAGTATTTAGGAATAGGAGGAGACTTCTTAATCTCATTATTTATACTACAAAGAGATCAACCAGATGCTTCTTTATATAGAAAGCTCCCAAAAGGTATTTAGAAACTAGTTCAATCACAGAAGGAGCTACAATTTTCTGCAAATGTGTCCATTAGGTGTAAAGGGAGAGTAGCTGAGAGTCCACCCGTCAGTTGCTCTGAAGCCACTGGGAGGTTGAGCATCTTCCTAAGCTGTTGTCCTAAGCCTGTTGTGTGTATCTACCACCAAAGGAGCAGCTGTCTTTGCAAGGAGACTGGGGAGAAGAATGGGGCTTCCTAGAATGACCTCTGGTACCCTGGGTCATTAGGCCTTCCTATCAGAGCAGAGACCCAAAGAATGTGCTGTCAAAGGAAGACAACACTCTATAGTGGGAGAAAAGAGTTATTTATATTCTGGTTTAGTCTACAGCCCAAACTCACATAGTAACAAGGAAATAACTTTAGAACTACCAAAGAATAGTGCATACAAGGAATCCCTGATGAACTCCATTCCCAAGGGGACTGGGACAGTAGAAGACAATGGTGTCTTTCATGCATGAAGATGAGGCCCTTGTCCTGATAAAAGTGAGTAGAATAACACATCTGTCATATACAGAGAATATCTCAAGAACAGGGAGACTAGAGATGCTTCAAATGACAGTGTCACAAGACAGGTAAGACTAGAATTGAGTTCCAAATACAAAGGTAAATCACAGGGCCCATTCAGGAAGTTCGCTAAGTAGAACCACAGCACAAAATAGGCAAATTGATGTGGTCACGTAATTTTTGCATTCTGAGACCCTGTTGGAGTTTAATTCAAATGTGATCAAATTTAGCTGAAGATGTAGCCCAAATTGCTTCCAGATGAAATCGTAAAATAGAAGCATCAGTCCTTGGTGAGGCCATAGATTCAAATGAAAGGCAAGCAGACACACCCTGGTTCTTCTTTGAGACCAAAGGTAAACGTAATTTAATTATAACTACATCCCAGCCCACCTCAATTCAAGACTTGAAATCTAAATTTTATTTGACTAAGACAACGATTTGTGCCCTCTGAAAAATTAAATAAACAAAATATCAAAAATTAGGCTTCAGTGTCTACTGTTTTTAAAATGCAATCTCTAGCACACAAGAAAATGTTACAAGACACGGAGGAAAGCCGGTTACTGTGGACCATGATCTAAAGAAAAACTGTCGGTAGAAGCAGACTGATAGAAGACCAGTTGTTGGAACTGGCAATCAAGTTTTTTAAAATAACCACCACAAACAAAATAACCACACAGGGGAGAGTGGTGAGTAGAATAAATGACCAAAGTAGACAGTCAGAAGGCTAGAGAGATAGCTCAACAGTTACAAGAACTTTCTGATCTTCAAGAGGACCCAGATTTGGTTCCCAGCATCCATGTCAGCTCACAACTACCCTTAATTCCAGTTCCAGGGGACTCAATGCCCGCTTCTGGCCTTTGAAGGCACTGCACATGTAATGGTGGACATAGAAACACTCAGGCACACACACAAGCACAAGAAAGAAAGTAAGGAAGGAAGGAAGGAAGGAGAACCAAAAAAACAAATGAATAAGAAAATTAGGCTATTATGGAATTAAAATCTTAAAAAGTATTAACAACAAAAAGGAAACTGTAGATCTGAAATTTTAGACATTTGAAATTAAAATGTTAACATTATGAGCTAGCCAATGGTGCTTACAATGGAATAAAGAAGAAAAATAAGAAAATTAAAATCAAGTCACTAATAATTAGTCAAACTACAACACAGAGAGAAGAGGACAGAGCCAAAGATTGCTTAATGATGGAATAATATAAAAGGATGTTACCTATATGTGAGTGCAGTCCCGGAAGGAGAGCAGAAAGACAAATGGGTCTTCTTAACTATTAAAAGTCATATGGCTAATTATTTCCAAAGTTGATGGTTTTAAATCTATTCAGAGATACATGAGTCTCAGATAATCTTTAAAAGTATGAATACAAGAAAAAGCTATGCCTAAACTATACCTATAAGTACAGCATAGTGTTGTATGACACTATTCCTGTGGAGGAGACATAAACAAACATCTACTCATACCAGACAGGGAAACCATGACAGACAAAACCACAGACACCACCGAAGTCCAGCTTGATGAACCAATGAGTTATATTTGGGTTACTTACAGGTACGGGCGAAGGGTTACTTACAGGAGCAGAAATGGCTCATAAACAGCGGCATCACCAAAGCCTACCCTAACATGGGTGTCAGCTCACAAAAGGTGAAAAACTGGGTCACACTGCACACCCTGCAGGCAACTCACCAGGTTAGAGATGTCTTTCCTATGTGACTCGGTTGATCTGAGCTCCACTGATCTCTACTTCTTCTAGATAGCTGGGCTTATCTGGCATTCTTCCCTCAGAACTCTACTATTCATGTAGTCTTGGGGAGGGAGGGGCCTAGTACATCTGGTAAGTTTCAGGGACTTCCTGAAGCTATTTTGAGTTGTTTACTTCCTACCTTAAGAAGCTTCCCTATAGTATTTCACCTTCCTTAAAACATCCTGTTGTTTCCTCTCCCTGTCAACATCCTGTTTTAGGGGAAAAAAGAGAATGGAAGAATGAGGATGGGGAGGAGAGAAAGGGAAGGGGAGAGAGAGAGAGAGAGAGAGAGAGAGAGAGAGAGAGAGAGAGAGAATGAACTGACTCCTCTTGTAAGTGCTTAGAAGGAAAATGTTGAATTAAAATTCTATATTTAAAGATAATATCCTTCTAAAGTAAAAATGAAATATTTTTCATGTAAATAAAACCTGGGAAAATTCATCACCTATGTTGAAAGAAAGGTTAAAGAAAATTCTTCATTGTGAAGAAAAATTATACCAGACAAAAATTCAAAATGCAGAATTGGGAGCTCAGTGGATAAAGCAATACCTATATAAGTGTTGAAGACCAGAGTTCAGATCCTCAGAACTCACATAAAGACAGGCACAGCAAAGTGGTCTGTAATCCCAATGCTTCTATAGCAAGAGGAGAGGTGGGGACAGGAAAATCCCCCAGGAGTTTACAGGATAGTATGGCCTCTGCAGCAGTTAGCAAGAGACCTTTGTAGTTGGAGTTTTCTCCAGTCCCACCTGGGCCTGCAGCTGCTCTGATCCAAGTAAACACACAGAGGCTTATATTACTTATAAACTGTATGGCCGTGGCAGGCTTCTTGCTATCTAGTTTTTATATCTTAAATTAACCCATTTTTATAAATCTATACCTTGCCACATGGCTCGTGGCTTACTGGTATCCTTACATCTTGCTTCTCATGGCAGCGGCTGCTGGCAGCATCTCCTAACTCAGCCTTCTACTTCCCAGAATTCCACTTCTCCTCTCTCTTTGTCCTGCCTATACTATACTTACTGCCTGGCTACTGGCCAATCGGCTCTTTATTTATCAATCAATCAGAGCAACACATTCACAGCAGATAGAAAGACATCCCCAGCAGACATTATCACAAACAAGGTAGAACCTGAGGTTACCCTCTGACCTTCACACAGACACCTAGGCATGCACATGCCTGGACTCACACACACGGACACATATATTTATATCATACCTATACACACAATTTTAAAAAGGATTTTAAATGAAGACTAAGTATAAAAATACACAGGTAAATCAAAAACTTATTTTTATTTTCTGAATTTTAAAAAGCTTCACAGAGGAGCTCTGTCCCTCAGAGGTTCTGAGCTACCTGGTAGTATGCCCACATTGTTCTTCTTTTTTAAACTCTTCTGCGGTTCAGTGTCACCAACAAAATGAAGTCTGAAAGTCCTAAAGACCATGAAGTCAAGGATTTTCACTCAATGCCTCACTTTGGATCTGCAGATTCATCTCTGGTCATGACATCTAGAACACACACACACACACACACACACACACACACATACACACTCACTCACACACACTCACACACATATACACACACACACTCACACACATACACACACAACACACACACACACACACACACACACACACACACACTCACACATACACCATATGGTCTTCACCCTGGTCATTTTCAGGGACTTCCTGAAACTTCACCCTAGCCAGACTAAAATACTTTATTTTTGCATTGTTGAGCACCCAAACCAGGGCCTTACATATCCATGCAAGTGTCCTGTCACTGAACTACATCTCTGACTCCAGACCAAAATGTTTAAAATTACTCACACAGTCTAGGTTCCTCAAGCTACCAAACCTTTGAATTTATTGTCCCCTATGTTTAACACATCTCACATACTTTCAAACTTTCTGCAAAACCCAGAAGTTCACATTACAATGGCATCTAGCTATTAGTTGGACTGATTAGGACCTAACTGAACAACATCCTATATCTAGAAAATTACTTGTCTTCCAAATCCCTTAATAGAAGCCATATATTGCCAGCCTCCTTGCAGCTAGGACATAGGGATATGAC